AATACCTACCAGTACAAAGATGTAGGAGTCAAGGCTCTGTGTAGATACCAGCTTGACTTCTCCATGTTCTATGAGTTGTGTAGATGTTGTCTTCAGCAATGAGGCCATACTGTCCCAAGTTTTTGTAGAGCAACCTGTTGGCAACAGCCCCTGGGTTGTTTGGGGGATTGCCATGAGATCCTTTTGGCCCACAACTTAACTAGATGTAATCCAATCCCTGTACAGGAAGCTTCATTTGGTGACAAGAGATGGCCAACTGGGACTCTGTTTACCCCATATTTGATGATTTCATTTAGATTGTCTTCATATATGTATACATTTTAGGAAGCTTCTACTGTATTATGTTACCCTTCAAATGTCCCTTAATTTTAGCTGTCTCTCCCTGTGTCCCCTCCCTTGTCTACTTCTTTCTTCCTGCTATAAACTTGATCCTCCTGTTCCAGCTTCCCCCATCCATAACTACCTATAGTTTCCCTTTTCTAATGAGCTTTATCTGTTGGTACTGGTTTTCTATATTAGTCAACATTTCATTACCATGATGAAATACCTGAAGCAAGATGCTTTTGAAAGACTTATTTTGTTCATGCTTCTGAAAGAGCAAGGGCAAGGGCTTTCCCCTGGTGATGACCTCCTTGCTTCAGAGTCCTGGGGCAATAAAGGGCATCCCCATGGCAAGAAACAAGATGAATATAAAGCCATCAGGAAACTTGTGGGGTGTTATATTTGTGATCCTGTTATCAGATTGACTTGGCCTGTGGGGGGGAATTGTCTCAATTGTTAATGTAGAAAGACATAGCCTACTGGGATCAATACCATTCCATAGGCAGATGATTCAGAACAGTAACAGGAAGGAGAAAGTTATTTAAGATCAACCAAGCAAATAGGCCTGCATGTATTTATTCCTCTTTGCTCCTAGAGGACCTGTTTCTGAACAACACAGTCAGATTAAGTTTGCATTCTTTTAGTCCTCACAATGGGGATCAAACTTCAACACTTAACATTAAATTTCAACTTAACTACATCCAGCCCATATAATTCTTTCTGGTTAAGGACTAACCTTAAAGCCAAAGGCAGAAGATCATGGGGAGGCTGCCCTGGGATTCACTGACATTGCTATTTAAACAGCTAGTGATCAGGGGCATTTTGTGGAATTGTGGGTCGCTTCTTAGGTAACATTTAAGATCATGTTGGGAGATTCCATCGCAAAACTGCACGGTGACCTGTAGCATGTGCTACATGTAACCAGTGTGGTGCTGCCTTCCCCAAACCAGAACCCCTAGGTTGCAAGCCTGACAGGTGGACGTGGAGGCACCACTTCTCATAAGAATAGCTAGTGAGCCATCATACAAGTTCTGCCTCGTGCCTGCAGAGGTGTTTCCCTGGTTGAAGCTCTCAGTAGCAAACAGGAGAACACCCTGGTCAGATACCACAGTGTACTGCAGAGCTAGAAGCAGTGGTGGTACCTGGCTACTTTGGGCTCCTCTGCTGCTGGGTTAAGAGACCCTAAAGGGTGCTGGCTGACTAGTGCTAGAATGAAGAAATGAGGATGATGATGCTCATTCTAGGCAGGTTCAGGTGATCTGGGCTCTCTTACCCCACCACATTAGGGATAAAAGAAATGGCAACAAGAAGAGACTCTCCCAGGAATGATGCCGGGAAAGCAGGATGAACCATGGATGTTTAAAGCCATGCACTGACTTGGTGATGAGTTGCGGGGATGAGTGTTCTCTTACAGCACCTGGTGGATATTTTTTCATGTTGTATTGTCTACATTTTACAGACTCAATCTCACTTTTCTTCATCTGCTTCTTCCCACAGCCATTGTATATGGGATCCTACATTCCTTTCTCTTTCCCTCCTTCTTTTTCCCTTTCCTTTTTCTTTTGTGTTTTTGTTGTTTCTGTTGAAAAAGTCCTTCTATTTAGTTCATGCTGGATTCAAACTGGCAATCCCCTTCTCTGCCACTTTGAGTGCTGGGGTTACAGACATGTACTACCTTACCCTGTGTGGTGGTTAGGTTTTTGTTTGTTTGTTTGTTTTTGTAAACTTTACACAAACCTATCTGGGAAGAGGGAATTTCAACTGGGGCATTCCTTTCATCAGATTACCCTGTAGGCAAGTCTGTAGGGCATTTTCTTGATAGAAGATGCTGCGGGAGGGTCCAGCCCATTTCGAGCAGTGCTATTCTGGGTTGTATAAGAAAGCAAGCTGAGCAAGTCATGAGGCACAAACTAGTAAGCAGTGTTCCTATGTGGTTTCTGTTTGAGTTCCCACCTCCAAGTTCCCATCCTGCCTAAGTTCCTGAATTGGCTTTCATTAATGGTGGACCATTACCTGGAAATGTGAACCAAATAAATCTCATCCTCCCCGAGTTGATTTTGGTTGGGGTTTAATCACCAACATAGAGCATCCTGCATATCTGTGCTTTCTTTAATGTTGATTTCGTAGGGTGAAGTGGAGTGAGATGACGAGAATAGAACTAGAGAAGTGCTTGCCCCCAGAGACCTTGAACTTTCTGTCCCAGGAACCAAATGCTTGCGACATTGGGGGAATCTCCCTAGGGAGAAAACCTCATGCGTGTTCAGATGTAGAGTGCTTTATTCCTCTTATATGAGGAAGTGAATGTGTGGGAAGGAGGGAGTGTGTGCATCAGAAACACAAGGTGGGTTTAACAGAAACACAAGGTGGGTCTTTCCCATGTGTTTGTCGATCAATTGCAGGATGGCGCTGATTTGGGGGGACTCTCTCTTTCTGGGTCTGGGTGTAAGGCAGGGTCATCTCCCTCAGGGCAATTTCTCTTATAGGCTGCATTTGGGGTCTCAGCCTTAGCTAGATCAATGCATTTCCTTGGGACTTAGCAGTTTGCACAAATTGTGTGAATGATCAAGAACAGGTGATAGTTGTTCATAGAGGTGGCTGAACTGTCATGTGATAGTGGCTACAGGAAGCAGGAGTTCTAGGTTCTGTTCCCCACCATTGTCTGTCACAGTCCCCCAATAGGTGATTATGAGGTCATGGTAAACATGGTATTTCTCCCTTACATTGCAACATGGATGAACCATGTGGTGAGATAGCCACTTCTGGGGGTGTTTCAGGCTCACCGAATCAACAGAGACAACAAGCAGGACAGGGAGCCAGGAGCTGGGGAGGGAGCAGGGAGTCAATGTTGAATGGGGACAGAGTTTCAGTCTGGGAAGATGGAACATTCTGGAGGCGGATGGTGTGGGTGGATGTTAATTATGCTGAGCTATGCACTTGAACGCGGTCAAATGGCCAGTGTCAGGCACAGTACATTTACCAGGATTAGAAGAAAGAATTCTTGTTCAGACAAAATCATCATGTGGCCCTTAAAGCAAAGAGCTTCACCAGCTGGTGGACGCCAGGGAATGAGTAGCGCAGGGAAGGCTCAGGCTGCCCTGTGGGTCTCAAGAAGAAGCTGGAGGGGAGTGAAGCAAATTCACAGCTCAGAAGCTATCCTAGCTGGCAGCCACTGAGGAGAGAGCTAGCACCCACAAGCCCACAGCTGCAATAAATTAGGTTCTTCCAGCAGCCAGACTGATCCCAGACAGGGGAGCTTCTAGAAGCTTCTGAGTAAGGCCCAGCTAACCTGTCCTTTTGCTTTCTTTTGCTTTTGACCTCATGAGAGGCTCAGTGGAGGACCTGCCCACCCCATCTGGGCTCTGACCCACACCTGCTGCTACTTCAGGTTGCTGTTGTGAGTGTGTGCTCGCACGCTCTCTCTCTCTCCCTCTCCCTCTCTCTCTCTCTCTCTCTCTCTCTCTCTCTCTCTCTCTCTCTCTCTCTCTCTCACACACACACACACACACACACGCTGCAGGGCTGCAGGCATGGCTCCCAGGGCAGTGCTCAGTGCCTGGATTTCTGGTAAGTGATTAATCCATGGAGGAGTTCATATTTTAATGGCATTTAAAAAAGGAAACTAGATGGTGAGGCCTCCAGTGAGGAAGAAGTCACTGGGCAGTACCCTCGAGAAGGTGTTTTCTTTACTTTGTGCCTTGTCTCTGCTTTCTGGCCACCATAAGGTGTTAGCCTTACTTCACTTATACATATACCTTGCTGTGTTCTGCCTCATTTAGGCCCCCAAACAAGAAACCAGCTGACCGGGGTCAGAAACCTCTGAAAACATGAGTCAGACTAAGTTGACTTTCCCAGGTTTAAGTTGATCTTCTTAGGTATTTTGTCACACTAACAGAAACAGACACTGCTGCCAGGTTTATGCTTTCCACTTCACAGCAGAGGACATGGATGTAGCTGTCAGTGTCTGGAAGTGGCAGGCACAGTACTACATCTGACCAGGGCTCCTGCCTGCCCTGTGTTGGCTTCCTTTGTCCTTACCTATCCTGTCCTGTTCCACAGACTCGCCACATCACCCTGGGTGTTTCTCTCTGTTCTTCGTGGAGCTGTTTCCTTGATGTCATAGTTTTAATATAGTGTCTTCCATAGGCTCATATATGTTTGCTTTGTGTCATGGGTTTGATCTGAAATGCTTCCACAGGCTCATATTCTGAATGATCTGTCCTCAGCTTATGGTGCGCTATTGTAGAACATGTAGGAAGCAGAGTCTGGTTAGCAGAAGGAGGTCATTAGGGGTGGGCTTTGAAGGTTATACCTGCCTGTGACGGTTTCCGTAGGTATAGGGAATGGCACTATTAGGTGGTGTGCCCTTATTGGAGGAAGTGTCACTGGAGGCTGGCTTTGAGGTTTCAGATATTCAAGTGAGGCCCAGTGTTACTCTCTCCTCCTGCTGCCTGTCAATCTAGATATAGAACTTGTAGCTATGACTCCAGCACCATGTCTGCCTGCCTGATGTCATGTTTCCCACCATAATAATGGACTAAACCTCTGAAATGTAAGCTAGCCACAATTAAGTGTTTTCCTTTATAAGAGTTGCCATGGTCATGATGTCTCTTCACAGCAATAGGAACTGGTCACTCTAGATGCGGTGTGGACAATAGACCAAAGATAGGATTCTACCCAAGTTTCAACTTAAACCAATGTGTTTATTGGGGTGAGGAGTTACTTATAAGGAGTGTGGGTGACCCTCAAACAATGTCATCACCTAAAAGCCCCACCCTATGATGGGTGATGATCTCATGGATGTTAGATCATGGACACCTGGCTTCAGTCAACTTCACACTTGAGTATGTCTCAAGATCCTAATAGTTTCTGGGCAGGAGGGAGTGGTATCCCAGGTGAGGATATAGCTACCTCTTCTCCCTAAACTATGGAGCATTAACAGCCCCATGGCCATTATCTAAAACCTGGCTATCACCATCTGGTTCCATGCATTTCATTATCATGACCATGGAGCCAAAGTCTTCTTTGTTCCACAAAAACCCAGAGGAAGTTAGTTTCGTTTACCATCCAGCCTCCCACATTCACCACCTTATGCTCCTGATGCCATAGACATAGCCACTCCTCCATGTTGTGATAGTCCAGAATCTCTCTGAAACCATGGTGTCTGGCTACACAATGTAAAAGTCACTAGCATACTAGGTAGAATCTCTCCTTCCCTTGCCACACCATGCGGATCATGGGAGGACTCAGGGCCAAACTCTTCATCTCTGTGGACAAGCAGGCAGAGAGCACCCTACTGGACCTAATGGTTAGCAAACACCTGTATTTCAGAGGGGTGTCGAATAGTTTGCAAATGCTTGTGCTTCAGAGGAGTATTGATGTACTTGTGGCCCACCCTTAGTCCAACTGAAGAGTCTGGGTTCCTGGGGCTGGTAACCATGGGCTCTGAAAAGCAAAGGGGGACAGTGAAGTTGTTCCACATGACCTAGAAAGAACTGGAGGTCTGTTCCAGAATGTTCTATAGGGACTATGAGGCTGCTGAAGAACATTCTAGAAGGGACTTCAAGTCCATCCCAGAATGGTCTAGAGGGGGTGATGAGGTTGTTTCAGAATGTTCTAGAAGATACTGTAAGAGGCACTCGGGTATTATTCAGTCAGTGGCATGCACACATGTCCCTCGTCCTGCCAATTAAATATGGTATAAATGAACAAATGCAAATGCTTGTCTTGCAGGCACAAGGACCTGAGTTTGATTCCTAAAACTATAAAAATGCCAGGCATGGTAGTGCATGCTTGTAATCCCAGTATTGGGGAGGAAGAGACAGAAAGCTGTCTGGGACTCTCTAACTAGACAGTCTAGTTTAACTGGTGAGCTCCAGGTCAGTAAGAGACTATTTCAAAGCAGGACAAGCATTCCTGAGGATGACAACTGGTATTGTCCTACAGCCTCTACACACTCATGTGTGCATACATAATAACATTTAAAAATATGCTCCAGAATGTTCTGAAGGGAATGGCAAGGCTATTTTCAGAACATAGAGGGCAATACAGATGCTGGGCATAGGGATCCAAATGCCAGAGCATTGGGTGTGTGGGTGGGTGGAGCTTGCTGACAGAAAAGTGTAAGTGCTCCTGGTGTTCCTTAAGACCAGATATCCTGGCCTGGAGCCTTTACTGGATGGCAGGGGGTGGGGGAGCAGGGCTGGGATCGTCATATTTCTGTGTTGGTGGCAGGGTGATGTCAGGTCTTATTAAAGACTAGAAGTGTTGTCACCCCACACTTCCACAGAGCTTCCTGTGGAGGCCACATCTGCCCCTACTGGGCACAGGTAACACATCCATGGTGGGAGATATAGATACATTGGGACCCTATGGTGCTGAAAGACTCTTCTAGAGAGAGGGGGGCCTACCGTGGGGTCAGGGTGTATCTGCCTTTTCGATCCAAGCCACAGTAAGAGTGAATGGCAAACCAGAGGAAGGCGCAGAGCATCATAGCATACACCTGGAGCAATAGGGAGAGATGCCCAGGAGTCAACAGCCACCAACAGTCCCCTGCTGGTAGATTCTTACCAGTTCCAGGAAGGTTTCTAGGATTGGGAAATGGAGGGCAGGAGATAGACACCAGACCACCTCCCTGGGTCAGGGGCTAGCTCCTCCCTGCTGACTGGGCCTGGAAGATCCTGGTAGTGCCATGGTTAGAGTGCTGGCCTGGGGCAGTAACCCGGGACTGCTTCTATCTGGGAAGGGGCAAAGCAGGGAAGGCTAGAAGGAGGACAAGGAAGGAAATGGTGGCTACCGTGAGGATCAGGCTGGTGCAGGTCAGGGTGGAGGCGATACTATAGTGTGTCCACAGAAAGTTCCCGATGCTCTGTAGGCAGTCCTGGACAAAGCAGCATGCATAGTTGATTGGACACCTTGGCTGGCCCTCCCTGTATAGTGTGCCCAGTTTTTCCCATTCCACTCTTCTCCTAGAAGCCCCTGGGGCTGCTTGGTTTGCTCAACCAGTGCTGAGGCCAGGGCAGTCAAGGTATGCACCTTCCCAAGCAGAACTGCTGAACAGTCTGGGAAAGAGGCTTTATGAACCTTGAGACTGAGGACATGGCACCTGTGTCTGTGGGGATAGTGGCCCACTGCCCTGGAGGGCAGGGAACACCTTCCTCCTCTGTTGTAGCTGCGCTGAGCTCCACCAGTGGACCAGTTTGTCCCCAGGCAGTCCGGAGTGGAAGTACTCTAGTCCCCAGAGGCTGCTGTTGGTGGTGAGAGCAGAAAATCTGGAGCTGGGGGCCTGACTCTAGAAAGAGTCTCTCTTTCTAGAAACTGGGAGGTGACAGCTGGCCTCTGAGACATTCAGATGTTGGCATTTTTGTTGGGGATAGCATTTGGGGAGGGTAAGGATAGGCTGGACCAAGAAAGCCCTACAGGGTGCTTTCTTGCCTTTTAGAAAGCAAGTGATCCCCTTGCTGTCCTGAGCTGGCCTGAGCTGGCCTTGGCTTTTCTTCCACCAGGGGTCCTTTGCAGCCTAACTGTGGTCCCTTGGTCCCTTGCCACTCTGAGCTGTTTTGTATTTGGGAATCTGAGGACTGTTCTTGGGTGGATGGGGCTCCCTCACTCTCATCCCCTTCCCAGCAGGCCAGCTCTCTTCCCTGCTGGGCCTTGAGCCATTCCCCACCCTCTCGTTTCTTGGAGGGTGGCCAGACATCTCTCCCCATGAGATAGGGCTGGTTTGTTTCCAGAATAGGAGGGGGATGGGACAAAGGGGGGCTGGGTAGGGAGAGAGGATGAAGGGGGAGGGGAGAGTGAGTCAGGGCCTAGTCCTCAGGGCAGAAGGGCTGCTCCCTGCCCTTCACCTAGCACTTTCTGGGAACCCTGGGGACCCCTTCCTACTCCCCCTAAATAGCTGACCACACTGTTAGATAGAGCCTTAGTTTTAAGCTCCTAGAAGCTTCAGAGGGAAGGGTGGGGGAGGAGCTTGATGGCCTGGGGAAGCCTCATGAAGGAGGGGAATGGTGGGCAGGACACATGCCTGATCCAAGCCTGCAGAAGGGAGTCGGGTGAAGGATTGGGGTCAAGCTGGCCATCTTTCCCCACCATGACCCCCTATCATGGTGGGGGGGGGTTACATCCCTGAGACTTTAGGGCAGACTCCAAGATATAAGAGGCCAAAGGGACAAAGAGGATGAAGATGTCCTTTCACAGAACATGAAGTCCCAACCCTCATTTGACTGGAGTGCAAAAGCCCACATCTCCCTCCTCCTTACCTCTCTCATGGCCTTCTGGCCCTGACACAGGACAGCTCCAGTGCTCATGAGACGCCCAAAAGGAGACTTCTTCCCACAACACAGAAACTGCAGGACAGACCAGAGGGGAACAGAGCGTGGGCAGGACTGACTAATGGGAAAGTAAGGCACCAAAGCACAAGTAACCTGGGGGATTCTGCAACCTGGGCGCCCAAGAGACCAGAGCCAGGGCTTAGGATCACAGCTGCTTCTGGAAAATATAGCTACCAGTGGCTTGGCCCTGGTGATGGAACAACGTGACTCTCTGAGGGTCTTCTCTTATAGCAGGGCCCCTTTGCCTGCCTGATAAACTGAACACATACTTCCGCGATGAGTACCCAATTCCTTCTTGAAATTCCCAGTCCATGTTGAACAAGGGCATTGCCCTTTTATTTTGCACTTACATTGATTGGTTAGCCAGTTCTATTAGGGATAGAGGAGGATGGGTCAGAGCTCAATTATCTGCCCACAATGGAACCTGTGTCCTGGGACCTCCTCTTGAAGCCTGGACAGTATGGCTGACTCTAGAGGACATCTGGCACTCCATTCTGTGGAGTGCAGCAAGTATGACCACCCTGTCCCTGGCTCACCGTGTCCTGGATGGTGGCCAGTTCCTGCCACCAGCTGCTAAATGGGCTCTTCATTGCCTGATCATACACGAGGTCATAGGTGTCCAATACTGCATCCTCCACCTGCACCAAGAGCATCACAGGAGACAATGGCCTGAGGGAGACCCAGGGAAACTCACATCTGGGCCTCCTTCTTCAGGAACTTTCTTCCTACCATGGCAATCCTGTTACTTGCCTGCTGTCCCTGAGACTCCCAAGAGGTAAAGAAAAGACCAGTAGATCTCAGCTACCCACTCTTAGTGGTAGCTTCTGGGTAGCGTGGGGTGGCATCCCGGTGCTACTGCTCATCTAGATATAGGCAATAGGTCTAGCCTGATGAGAAGCTTGAACAAAGGCCTGGCCTAGTTCATCAGTTCCCTAAGGTGTTTGTGGACCCTTCTCCAGAACTACCCAGAATACTGGGAAGATGAGTTTTGATTCAGGGAAGGTAGGGGCACCTGGGGTCAGATCCAGGTAGACAGGCAGAGGAAGAAGGAAGCTGGGTGGGGTTAAGGCTGGCCTTGCTTTTGCTCCACACACAAACAGCCTAGACTTTTTTTTTTTTTTTTTTTTTTTGCTTCTGTCTCCTAGCAGTTTCCCTAATCTATTCAATCCCTACCCCAAGATGCCCTCCCCTAAGCCAAATATGTTTTCAGAGACAAGCTGGAATTTCATCTCTTCCAGGAAGGCATCCTAGATATGTAGGGCTCACTGGTCTCCTGCCCAGGGCAAGTCCTCCTAAGTCTTTCTGTTTGAAGGCCCTGAGTCCTCCCCACTCCCAGCTTCATGTCAGGCCAGTAGCCAGGTCACACAGAGGGTTGTCCTGAATGGCTGGGATGGTGTTGAAGCCCTATGCCTCCTCTGGTCACTCATGCCTTTCAGAAAGGAAAGATGTCTGTCCCACAGCCTGGTGTTCACTATGGGCCTCATTCACCAGCTGCCTGCAGGTCATAGTGGGCAGGTAGACAGAGGTGCTTGGTTAGTCTAGTCCAGTCTCAAGGCCCCTGCAGGAGCCAGGGGAATTCCGTGCTAACTGCTGGTCCTGGCACCGATTCCTCCCTCTCCATCAATGCAACAGAGCCAGATTGCCCCATGAGTCATCCCCAGCTCAGCATGCCCAGGCCCTCCCCCACCCAAGGCAGGTGCCAAGCTGGCCTTGGTTGTTGGTCCATTTGGGCCCGAGCTCTCTCATGGGCTCAGCTTGTTCGAGCCTATGAGGTTACTGTGTCCTTAAGAGAGAAATCCTGGGGAGCACTGGGGATGCCTGGAGCTGGTCTGCGGTGGGTGGGGCAGTAGTCAAAACAAGCAGGCCCTATTGGACTAGCCCTTTTGCACCATTCCCTGGCACAATTGACTTTATTACCCTTGTCGGTCCTACCACTTTTCAGGGATGTCCCAGTGCCCGGGGGCCCTCTGTGCACTGTCATTCCTACAGGACAATAGAGATGACATCAGCTCTAGAGCTCAGCTCAGCTTGGTTCTGCCCAGCATCCAACCCCCACATGAGCAGAACAACAGAGGCCTACCCTGGGTGGGGGATTCAGAACCTGACCTTGGGGCCTTAGAGACCAGGCTGGACTCTGCAGAGCCCAACACTGGGGTAGGGGGTACTACATTGCCATCTGCACCCATTTTGGCATTCAGGGTGATCCGTGAGAGACTCGAGGCTGGAGTTTTTTCATGGGAATAGAGAGGGTGGACTAGAGGCTTCTTAAACCAGGGCCCCAAGCCTCCATATCACGTATCCAGAGGTCCCTCCCAGCAAGGATCTGTGTCCACAGGGCTGGCAAGCAGCTTCTGGGGTACAGACTCTCCTTTGTAAGTGTGTTGTCCTGTGTGGGGGTTGGAGGAAGCCCTGAGTATATGAAGTCCTGAGTGGGTGTTTGTTGTCAAGGACCAAAGCCTTAGACCCATGAGGTGTTGGTGAAGCCTCCCACCCTGCGAGTCTCACTAAGACTAGCTAAAGCCGCCTCCTTGTCCAGCTGTATATGATAAACCTTCTCGCTGCCTTGTTTATCTGCTTGTAATAACTCTGCCTCTTTGTTCAGCTGGGGGAGCAAAGGGACTGAAGCTTATCCACCTGACTCCAAACCACCCGACTCCAACTTTCCTGTGTGTGTCTGTCCTTCATTCCCTTGCCACCCCAGTCAGGTCAATCCCTCGAGCTGTGCAGGAAGCAGCAGTCCAGGGTTCTGCAGATGGAGGACCGATGTCTAAGTTATCCCCCATCTCTCTTCCTGAGACCAGGACACTGTGATAGCTGACTGGGATTGATGACTTCCCTCCCCCATGTTTGCCAGCTCAGGGTAGTACATGCAGCCATGGCCAGGAGAACCCCACTTGGAGCTGCAGGTGGCTTGTGGACCAGCACTGGGTCCTGAGGCTACATAGACATGTCTGTTCTACACTTGCTCTTGACATGAATTATTAAGGAAAGCTAAACAATTCATTTTCCTCTCCTTGGGGACAGTGGGAGATTGTGGCAGAGTAGCTCTGAAGCCGCAGTGAGGGTGTAATGAATAGCCCTATCACTCTGTATCCATCTCATAGCAGCCTGGGCCACACTGCTAGCCTCCCCAACCTTGGATGCCTGCCGAGGCTTGTGTCCTGGGAGGGGGCTCAGGAAAGAGCACCCCATCCCTCACTTCAGGCCAGAGCCTGTGACTACAGAGATAGTCAAGGTCTCTTCTTCGTCTGTCCTTACCTTCTTGCTAGACCCTTGCTGTACGATGTCTTGGGGATCTTTCCAGGGAGGTTTAGGGGAGCTGGGGTGACTTCTAAGCATTCCTAGTTGATTCCTGTATCTTTTCTTATCCATGTGGCTGTGGGCAGCTGGGATGAACAAGTCTAAGGTCATGTCCTCTTTGGCCTGGATTGGCCCACTGCTAAGGAGGACATGGGATGATGGGAGGATGTTTTGGTGATTCTGTGCAAACTGTGCTTGGTACCACACAGGGCTACATTCCAGACAACCTAGAAGTACAGAGGAGTCTGCCCCACCCCCACCCCCCACTGCTGGTTCATCTCTACCATGCAGTATCTCTCCTGCAGGGCCTTCTACTTTCCATCTACAGAAGCAGACACAGAGGCCCAGGGAGGATAAAGGACTTGTCCAAGGCTGGCCTGCTGCCCTTGATTTCAAAGCTAGGTTGCTTTCACCCAGGCTAACTCCAGGCAGTTCACCAGGGCTCACATGGGCCCTGTTGGAAGTCAAAACTCCAAGACAATAAATAGGCCAGCAGGTCAGGGTCCAAGAGGAAGCCCCTGCCTACTTAGGGTCAGGCAGGCTTTGGGATTGGAGTAAGAGGCACCTTCCCTTCTGTAGATTAAACTCTAGTTGATGCCTGTCCTCAGTCCCTGTGAAGCCTTTTCCTGTTCTGCACCCCAAATTTAGGGCTCAAAATATAAACACAGCTTTAGAACAGGGAGATGGGTCACAGCTGCCACAGGCCAACCCAAGGACAGCCCCTGATACCTGTTAGCTGTCTTGACTGAGGCCACCCACGCTGTGCCCCAGACCTCCAGCCATCCAGACCACTCGTCAGTGGACAGGGAATGTTCTGCCAAAATGCTGCTTGGTCCTGCTGCCTCAGGCAAGATGCTGAACACCCATGCCCTTAAGCTATTGTGGGGGTTCAGCTCTCTTCCAGATCCTCTGGACCATAGAAAAATATTTTCCCCTTTAATATCAGGATTGGGGTTTAATATCAGCTTTTGGGGTTGAGGTGAGCCTTTGGGGAATCTCCTTGGGCAGAAAGGAAGGGTGTAACAGAAACTCTGGGTAAAGAGCCTGAGTGGTCCAGGTAGAGGGTCCTGGCTGCACTTACCTGGGTGGGGTTGTGGAATCTCCAGAAGGCCACTTGTACCAGGATGCAGAATGACAAGGCAAAGCACACGAAACCCTGGAGACAGAGATAGCCTGGTCAGTGCACAGCCAGGTATGTGGCCTGGGGAGGTAGGGCAGGGTACCAGGTAGGTAAATTCCCCAGCTGGACTGGGCTAAGCTGCTGGCTTGAGCCCCATTAAATACTACTTGTTTGGGGGAGGCTCTTTCCTTCCCCAGGCTCTATGTGCCTCTGGAGGACCTGTGACCTAAGGGTAGGTCTTTCCAACATGGTGGGGGCACTAGTCCACCAGGGCTACTTCTAGGAGGGGCAGTGCCTCCCTGTATCTGAAAAATTGGCCGTTGCTTTATGTATGTTTATGTATGGGGAGGCCAGAAGGACGTGTTTGATCTTCTGGAACGGGGGCCACAAGTTGTTCTGTGTGGATCCTGGTGAACTGAACTTGGCTCCTCTGGAAGAGCAGGCAGTTGTTTCTCCAGTCCCATTCACCTAACTGCCCATCCTTTCCTTTGAGGTGGGCTGGCCTTGAGCCCATGATCCTCCTGCCTGTATCTCCTCAGTCCTGTGATTACAGTTGTACACAACCACTAGTGACTCAACCAAAGACGTCAAGCACGCTAGGCAAGCACTCTATCAACTGACCCACTACCCAGCCAGAAATGCCTCTCTTGAAGGCTTGGAGCAGCGACCTCATACAGGGTGCCTTCTATGAGCTCTTTGTTTTGTTTCTGAAACATGTTTCCAAGGAGACCCTAACCTCTACAGCCTGACGCATAGAGGACCACAGCCCACAACCCCGGGCATAGGTTGACTGTGGCCTTCCTCCCCTCATGAGTTTCCCACCCTTCCTCTACACCACGGTCTGGGTCTCTGTGGTCACCCCACTCTTACTCCTCACCCCAAGTACTAAAAAGGAAACTCTTTACACACTCCATCCTTTCCTTTAGCCAGGGTATAACTTCTGATTTTCTTAACAGATCTCTCCCCTGACTGTGTACTGGTACAAGTCCCTAAACTTCTGAATAGTTTCAAAGGTTCACTCTAGACTAGGAACCCTAATCCTTAATAGAGCCCTCAAACATCCCCTCTGATGAACTTGGATATGGGTACCCTCTGAGCCTCTGCCTAATGCTTGTGATTGTCAGCCCCAGTGCCCTGCACAGAGACCCCTGTGTGACCTTTGAGCCTTCTACATCAACCACCACCTCACTCCCAAGTGTCTCTAGCATGTCGTTCAATGGATATGGGTAGCTGTGGCCTAGCTGTCTTAACCAAGCCTAACTCAGGGGTCATCCCCATGAGGAAAATTGACCAGTATGCAGAGCAACCTACAGTCATAGGCCTGGATGCTAGAAACAAATAGCCATGGCAGGGCCAGCTTAGCTCTCCCAAGAGTGTGGAAAGAGCTGGGGTCACGTGCACTGCCTCTCAAACTTGGGAGGGTGTGGGGTCTGCAGGGGTGGGGTACTCCTCCCCTGCTTTCTCCTGCTTGTTCCATACCTGCATCACTATCTTGAGCTGCCTGCTGTTTCTGCGTCCCTCTCCTTTCCCATCTTGCCTTCTCTGATCTCTTCCACCTTTCCTCCTGCTCTTCCTCCCTCCTCTTTCCTCTTCTGGCAGTCGAGGGCTGCGTTCCCCATCTGGAAGCCATTCCTCAACTCTGCCTCCCAGCTGAGGCTGCAAGCCAGCCCAAGAGTTCAGCTCTTCCAGAAACCATTTCATTCTCAAGAGGGAGTTTCTCCCCCTTTCTCTCTCTCCCCATTTCTGTCTTTGCCTCTCTGTGTCTTTTTCTGGCTCGTTGTCTCTGTCTCTCTATCTCCCTCTCTCTGCATCTCTCCCTCTCTCTTCTCTGTCTTATCACTCTGTCTCTGTCTGTCTCTCTCTGTGGTGTGTGTGTGTGTGTGTGTGTGTGTGTATGCAGAAAAGGTCTTAAAGCTTACATAGTGCAGAGAGAGGTTAGGCCAAGCCTAACTGTGACCATTTTTCTCTCTAGTCATTCTAAATGAAAATAAATGAATAAATAAACGTGTAAACAACTTGAATCTGCTTCCTGCAGCTAGCTAGCTCTTTCATTTCCTATGTTACAGAAGGCGGGGCCGGAAAGAGCAGGGAGGGGGCCAGTGGGCACAGAGTCACAATGGGGGATGTTTCCACTCCCTAGACCCTTTTATATGTGCTTACATGTGCACCGGCATGCAAGCTACAGGGCCATGGCAAACAGGACAGACAGCAGACAGCACCCACCACACACACAAACAGGTACAAGTATAAACATGCCACAAGGGGCTGTGACAGTAGAACTTTCAGTGACCCTGTAGTGACAGAACTGGGCTTACTGTCTGCTGGGGTAGAGGGTGCTGGGATTCAGGAAGTGCAGAGCCTACACTGGGCCTGCAGTGACCTTGAGAACAGCTCTGAACAGGAGGCTTCTGGCTGTGCCTTTTAGTCTGACCCACATAACAGTGCCACACCAGGCCCTAAGTCTGTTAGGGATGTGGAACTGAGGCCTCGGGTGGCCTGGGTGGGTTCTAATGCTCCAGGAATCCATAGCTCACAGATCAAGTGCCAAGCAGGACATGGGAGGAGCTTGGGAAGGCTGAGATGGGATAGGCTGATCTGGAGCTGGGCCCCTTGGCCCAGCTGCCTACAGCTGCCTGCTTTACAGTCTTCATGTTGACTATGGTGCCCCCTGGTGGCTGAAGTCATGTTCAGGCTCAGGCCTCTCAGGCTGTATTCTGCTTACCCCTGCCTCCATCTTGTCTTTCCTCTATGCTGCCCTCTAGCAAGGCACAAATCCTCTGGAGCCACAATCCACCATCTCTGTGACCTCTTCACTAGGATCTCCCTCAGGGCCCTAAATCCAGGCTGTCTTTATTTAGTGTTTTATTCATGACCAGCATTGTCCCTGCCCTGCCCCTCTGTCGTCAGAGCAAGAATCCCTGAAAGCCTAGAGCTTCCAGGTTCTGCCTAGTCCACCATCCAGGCCCACCCAGGTCTGGGTGGTTCCTGCAGCTAGGTAGGCCTCCCTGTCTTTGGAGGCCTAGGGTCATCAGCAAACATACCGAGCATGAAGATGAGATCGCAAAGTTTCATTTCAGTCTATGTAGGAAGCAACACTTCCAGCTCAGCTTCCTGAAGGCTCCTGGATTCCCCCAATCACTCACAGGCAGAGGATGAGAGTTCTATAAGCAGGGGCACAAGGGTGGATGGAGGAGGGAAACTTTATACCTGGGATGGAGCGGGCAGATGAGAGATCAGCGCATCAGGAAGGAGCTGACCCAGTTCAGATGACTGGGAAAGCCTGGATCAAACAGGGCCAGGGTGGCCATGGGGAGGGTCCTAGCAGATAGAATCTGGACTGACTATTGGGTGTGGTAGGGGCACACTAAGGCACCCATGTGGAGAAATAGTTACAGCAGCAGCGAGGGCTTTCTTCTTTGGGGTTGTGAAAACTTCCCTGTAATGGCTAGGCCGGGTTAGTGGACCTGTGAGAAGGAAGGCCAGGCTGCAGAATCAGCTTCAGGGACCCCCTCATCCCTGGTTGTTATCCTAATGGGAAATGGAATTCATCCAGACCTGGCAAATACCAGAACCAGGGCCTGGTAGGGCCTTTGGAGATGGTCTCAGGGCTGAGAAGGCCAACTCTCCTCCAGGGGCCCTGCAGAACCATTGTTAGATCTGAGGAAGACAGGGTGATGTGGAACTCCATGGAGGCTTCTCAATAACCCAGGAGAAGGCTCTTGACTGGCTCAGGTGGGAGCGTCCTGATTGGGCAAGTGGGAAGCGCTGTGTAGGTGGAGGGACTTAATGGAGCCTATTCCCTGACCTTTGCTTCTTTCTGGATGCTTCTGCTGGGGTCAGGCAGCTCCCTGGGCTTATTTCTCTTCAGTTCTTATCCCAACTTATGCAAGTTTTAAAGCTGGGGTCATCTGGCAGCACACAGAACTTACCGCAGCCATGAGACCATGGGCCTCCCTCACAGCGGCTATGGTGCTCAGGCCAGCGCCCAGACTCAGTAGACCTGCTAGGCTGATCGCCACGTAGAAGGCTGTGGGAAGGGAGAGGCAAAGGATAAGGGATCTAGCACAGGGACTGGGCATAGAGAGTTAAATCTGAAATCTACTTTGAGGTTTCAGAGAGCTAAAGCTGAACTTCTGGCCCGAAAAGAAGGGGTATCTCATAGCCTGATAGCCTGTTTCCTCCCAAGGCTGGGAAGGCAGAGGTAGGAGCAGAGAGCAAGCTAGGGGGTCACACTCCTTTCCCCATTTCTCCTGCCTTCCCTGCCTCACAGACTATCTTGAAGCCACATCCTCACACTGTAGTGACAGGTGGCGGTGTGGGGTTGTGACCTTATCAGTCCAGGCCCAGGCCCCAGGCTTCCTGCCTGGGTGGGGCTTAGAGCCTTGGAAAGCAGGGGGCCTAGAGACTGAGGCTGCCAATTCCACATTCAGGGGCCTCACTTTCTCCCAACCTTTCGTACTGGGTGGTCACCTCCCTAGGTTCCTTGCATTCCTACCAGGAACACCTGCCTCCTCATTAAAGTGGCCGTGCTCTTGTGGAAGGGAGCCCTCTGGCAGGCTTGGCCCTAGCTGGGCATTTTCTGCCCTCTTAATGTGGTATTCACTGCTGAGTCTCACAGGCCATCTGATCCCTGCCCTGACAGTACAGATCTGGGGGCTGCCACAGCTTGAACACTCCCATGTGGCAGAAGAATCAGGACAGGAGTGCCCAATGTTGCCTAAATCTCCCCACTTTTGTTAGTGAAACCAGGGCACTGGGGTGTTCCCTCCTGGGCCCCAGATTCTGATTTCTGCCCAGAGCTAGCTCCTCTGGACAGCCTAGAGCTGGGAAGTCAGGTCAGTCCCTCCCAGATGGTTTTGGCCCTGGGGCCCTCCCACCTCTGCTCCACAGCCATTTCTGGCCTCACTTACCCCAATAATGCATTGCTTCATAGGGGTTCCTCTCCAAGGATACGTGGCCAATGACAGTAAAGTGGTCTCCAAAGTGAGTGACAATTGCCATCGTGGCGGTAGATAGGGCCAGAAGCTGAGAGTGAAGTGGGCTCACCGTTAGAGCTGGGGACAGTGGCAAAGGCCCTCCCACAATGACAGAGTGTAGGGCCTGGGCTTCTAGGCACCCCAGCCTGGCTTCTTCCACGAGCAAGGCAGCTGCAGGAGGCCTGCATGTTTCTGTGGATGAGGGGGACAAGTCCTGCAGACATGCTAACACACACACACACACACACACACACACACACACACACACACACAAGTATGAAGCACACATACATGTGCCCATTTTCTCTACAGGCCCAGAAGATCACATCAAACTGTCTGCAGAAACTCTGCAGTCCCTGTCCTCTCCTGGATCCCAAGCAGCACCCTTCCTGCTGGTCCCTGAGCACTCCAAATCACCAGCCAACCAACCTAGCTTCTCCCAGGCTCTTCGCCGCCTCTTGGGGGACAGCTGTGCCTACAAGGTCAGGGGTTCACAGTTCTCTAAGGGTGGCCACCAGGGACCCAGACCCAGTATGCAGGACTGTGATGTGGAGGGGGGTAGATCACAGTGCTAGAAAGCCTGGGCATGGTGAATTATTTCCCCGAATGCCCACCTGCCCACCCACTCCTGTTCCACTTGCATGTTACCAAGACAAAGAAGTTGGTGGTCAGTATCTGGCATTTGGCAATCTTGATTCGTTTCCAGTGCTCCATGGTGCTCCTCTCCTCTCCTTTCTCTCTCTCCTCCTTCCCTCACTTCACCTCCCCCCTCTTCCCTTCCTTGCCACTCCCCTCCCTTCTGTGGTTCCCCACTGGGTGGGGACCTCAGACCACAGCTGACCCAGTAGGTAGGATGTGGCCTCCCATCTGTCAACAGCCCTTGTAACCCAGTGGCTGGGTTTGGGGAAGGAAGAAGGGCAACCAGGAAGGGGGGCAGTTTCTATACCTGCAGCTGCCCTGGCCATGCCCAAGACAACTGGGCTTTTGTAGGTGCATGAGGCCTCCCAGTCGGTGGGCTGGGCCACACTGCAGCACTGGGAGGGGGTGGAGTCTTAAGAGGAGAAGTAAGAGAAGAGCCCAATGCCAGGCGTTGGTTATGAGAGTGTACTAACCTGCCCAGCTGCACTAGAACCTTTCGTGTTTGGACTGGAGACTCTGTGTCCCCAAGTCCTCCTGGTGTTAATCCCCAAATAGGACTCCTGCAGGTGGTGACTGTCTCAAGATCTGATGCTTTTGGCCAGTTCATAATCAGCGGGAGGGTGTGATAGAGTCCAGTCTTAGGAATGGCCAGGGTCTGGGCCAGCAGGCATGGTACATACATAGGAGTTTCAAGATGGGGGAAGTTTATGGGTATTGGTCCTTGGTGAGCTAGCCATCTCTGATGGAAAACAAAAACAAAACATGTTTCTCACAACCAGCACCTAGGAGGCCAAGGCAGGAGGAGTATAGCAAATTAGAAGCTAGCCTAACCCACATAGTGAAACTCCAGCTCAAAAATAAATTGGGTGGGGAGATGACTTAGTTGGTAAAGTGTTTGCCCCGAGAGCATGAAGACCTGAGGCCAGTTTCCTCAGAACCTGTGTTAAAGAACACAGACATGGTGGTACATGCTTGTAATTCCAGTGCTAAGGAGGCCGAGACAGGAGGGTTCTTGGCACTCACTGGCCAGCCGGTCTACCCTATCTGGTGACTCCCGGGCCAGTGAGGGACCCTGTCTTAATAAACAAGTTGCATGGCTCTTGAGGAAGGACACATGAGGTTCACATCTGGCCCCCACATGCCTCCACCCTCACCCCATCCCAGGAACATACACATAAATAAAAAAACACAATGATAAAGAGCCGTCTGAGATGCTACCAGTCACTTTGTGAGAGGGGAACAACTTTTTGCTTACTTCAAACATCAGAGGCCCACAGGAGGGTCTGTGTCTCACCCATATCTACAGGAATATTTGTGAAGACATCATCTGTAATAACACAGAATGACATAAGCCATGGACAGCACGGTACGGTAAGTCCATATGCCTGTGGGCCGTGCTAAGTGGGCTTTGGAGGCCATGGTGTGCCTGGCCATAACATGAGTGTCCACCATAAAAATCTGGTTAACTCTGGACCTTTGTAAGCACCTGAGGCCACTTCTGGATACTCCAGCAAGGACTGAATGTCTCTCCTTTCACATCCTGTAATACAAAGTCCTCCTGGCCATGGGGCACTGTGGTGGGGAAAACAGGTATTTATGGGAGTGACCCCTGAACCTTCTAGAAGCCAGTGGAACAAGGCCGTGTACTGGCTATGAGTGTTGGTGCTGGGAAGATGGCTAAAATGGCTACCCACTCGTGAAGGCTGACACTGGAACCCGTTGCTGCTGCCCCCTCTTTCCTCCCTCTTCCCAAGGGTTCTTCCAGAGCTGCAGATGGCTCCTCTGTAGCTCTCATCTTCCAGAGTCTTGAGACTGTAGTGTAGGTGAGGTGTGACCATGTATCACTCAGGGTAGAGTTCAGGGCCCAGCTGGGGTACTGACCAGCCTAGGTGAGGCCCAAGCAAAGCCTCGGGGGTGACAAGTGTGCCAGGCCACCCACAAGCAGTCTTCTGCTGCTCACCACCTAGTTTGTTTTGCTCACTCATCAACACTTTTCTCCACCTGCATGGAAAGAAGAGCCATGCTGTCTCCAGGGCCCAAGATAGGCCCAGAACCACATAGAATCCCTTCCCTAGTTACTGCGTGCCTATGAGAAGACAGTGGAGCCAGGTGCATTGCTCAGGGGGCCTTACTTTGCCTTCTCAAAGTGGTGGGGACCGCAGGCCAGTCTTCCCCAACACCAGGTCTAACCACCTTCTCCTCCCTGAGCCCACTAACAGGGCCAGGAAGCCCACATGTTGCAGGACCACCTAGCAACATACCCTCTAGATACCTTTGCATCCCATCCTCTGCTGAGACTTTCTCTAGGAGGAAATGTTATATCAGAGGGTAGATACTGTCCTGCCTACTGCCTACCTCAAGGCACCCTGGGTTATGGCCCACCCCCAGTAGAGGGCAGTACTGGCCCTCGGAAGTCAGGAAGAGGCCCAAAGCTGCATGTTCAGCTCCAAAGAGATGGTTCAGGGATCTACTTTGGCCCTATGATAGACCCTGTCCTGAGGCCAGGCCTATTGCTGGCTGCCCAAATTTATCAAGATGCTCTTTGTGTGTGTGCGTCTGTGTGTCTGTGTATTTGTATATATGTGTATTTGTGTGTTTTCTGTGTTTATGTATTTCTATGTGTATATATGTATTTGTATGTTTATGTGTCAGTGTGTGTGTACATTTGTGTGTGTGTGTGGTTTTTTATGTGTTATTTATGTTTATATACCTTTTTTGTATGGTTTTATATGTTGTGGGTTTGTCTTTGTGTTGTCTCTGTATATATGTGTGTGTTTGTATGTTGTATATTTGTGTGCGTTTTTACTTGTGAGGATCATATTTGTATTTGTGTCTTTGTGTATATGTGTGTGCTTTGTATGTTGTGTATTTGTGTATGTATATCTCTCTTTGTTGTGTGTATATGTCCCTGTATTTATTTCTTTCTCTGTGTGTGTGTATATGTGTACATATCCACCCACAAAAGGCACTTATTGCTGTAGTATTACTTACTACTTCCCCTTTGTAACTTCTTCTTTCATCTAATAATGACTTAGTTGACTATAAATGGTTTTATCCAAAAGAGATCCAGTAGCCAAAGTTGAAAATTTTGAATAGTGTTAGGTTTCAATTTACCATATTAAAAAAAAAAAAAAAAGGCACCTGCCACCAAGGGAGACAATCTGAACTCAATTCTGGGTGCCACACAGTAGAAAGGGGGGTGTTTAGCAAGTTGTCCCCTGACAGCACCTCCAAATATGTGTTGTGACACAGCCCACCCCTACAATAAATCCATATCAGTAAGGTAGCTGATAAACTATATCAGTGGCGAGGAGGAAGAGAGCAGAAGTCCCATTCAGAAGAATCCCAGAGAAGCCATGCCAAGGCTCCACCCTCCTTCTCCTGAAGGTGGGGCAGATCTCACAGCACATGCAGCGAGGGCCTCTTCCTTCCTGAGAAGAGAGAGAGACTCTATGTAGCTGAGACCTTGCAGCCATAACGCCCAGGGACAAGTCATGTGGATGGTGGTGATTTGTGGTGGGAGGTTAGAAGAGGGCTGTCTTCTTCCATAATCCATGACCCCCATCTTAACACTGAGAAAATGGGACATTCCCTAGCTCAGGGCCCTGCAGGACAGCTGAGCAGCTACCTCAGAACTCACAGTCTCATCAGAGACTGTGGGAAATTGTTCAAGCCCAGAAGAGCCTTAGGAGGCAGGAGGCAGGTCATTTGGGTTCCTGGATGAACCTTGGGGCCAGTAAAGGACAGGCAGGGACACAGGAGATGGGTTTAATTGACAGCAATATATCAACACTGGGTGACAGCTGCCTGTCACTAATGTCACATTTGCTGTGAAATGTATTTGGTTTCCTGATTCAAAGTTCCTGCCACATGTGTCCAGTCTGCAGTCTGCATGTGCCTGAGGACATGTTATTCTATGTGTGGCCAAACATAAAAAGTGTGAATATACTTAGAACTAGAATTTTTTCACAAATGTAAAGGCCAAAGGTCAACTTTAGGGTATTCCTTGATCACTCTTCACCTTTTTTCTTTTAGATTTATTTTTATTTTATGTGTATTAGGTGTTGTGCCTGCATGTGTCCATGAACACCATATATGTGCAGTGCCTGAAGAGGCCAGAAGAGGGCATCTGATCCTCTGGGAACAGAGTGCCCTGTGTGCCTTTATGAGCATTTTAGGAACCAGGGTGTTTCCTGGGGAGAGCCTCCAATGCTCTTAACTGCTGAGCCATCTCTCCAGCCTGGCACAGCTAACTTTTAAGTGCTGGGATCAACTCAGGTACTCACTGTGCACTGATCACTAACTGAGCCATCTTCCCAGCCCTGTGTGGGGGTTTTGGTTTTTTGTAAACTGATTGTGAGGGTTCTACATATGAACTTCATAGGTAAGAGTATTGTGTCACGATGTCTAGAGGCCAGACACAACAAAAACCCTTTAGACTCTCCAGTGTGGCAATATGGGTTGGCTGGTGGTTCTGGCATCCTGGTTGCCTCAGAGTATACCAGGAATCTCAGTCCCATCCCTTCCCTAGCCTCCATGGAGGGGGAACAACTGGAGGCCAGTGACAGCATCAGTCGGATTATACCTTAAAGCCACATCAGGAGTGTCCAAACATCTGACCATGGGAGGTGCCAGAGGGCATCCCCTTCCAGGAGCCTCACCCTGGGCATTTCTGGCCTGGTTGCTGTGGTCGCTCTTCATCATGGCCTTTATAATACAGTAGTGAGCAGATGTAAGCCAGCACTCCCCTGAGTTCTATGGGCTACTCCAGTAAGTGACCCTGACCCACGGAAAGTCCTGCAAGAACCTTCAACAGGCAGGACACAACCTGGAGCTGTGATTGGCAGATGCCGGAGGCTGGGTTATGCATTCTCTTTGGGTGGAGCTTTCAGCTTTAGAATCTGATGCCTTCTCTAGGCAGGCCATGCAGAGTTGGATGGGACTGGGGCACTCAGCCCGCGTGTGCTCGAGAAATGCTTGGGGTGTGGGGCACCCTCACATATGAGGTCACAGCTGTGTCACACGTTGAAAGTGTAGGAAGGATATAGCGATGGAGGCTGTGAGAGGGTCTTTGTGAGCTCTAGCATAACCCCGGCATTTCTATAGCAACAAATCTAAAAAGTAGATTTTATTTCCAAATCTGTTTTTATTGAAGGCTCTGTAGACCAGGCTGGCCTCAAAATCAAGAGATCCACCTGCCTCCTGATGTCCATCCATCCACCCACCACCGGCATGTCTCCACTATCCTTCATGTGGTTGTTCATCTGTCCATTGCTTCATTTGTTCCTGTGTAGCTTTCGTTCACCCATGCCTCA